GTAAAAAAAGTAGTAGTTAAAAAAAAGTAATAATAAAAAAGAAAGTAATAGTAAAAGCAAGCCCTAACTTAAAAGCTTATTTATATTAATAAGTTAAATCTTAACCTAGCTTATTAAAATTATTTTTAAAATAAAGTAAGTAAAAACATACTACTAATTAAAAAGCTTTTAAATTATTAAGCCTAAGTATTAGGGCTTCCAGACTTTTTTATATTATAATTAAAAAAGATTATAATAAAAGCTTTTTATTTAGGGAATTATAGGATAAAATAATAAACTTTTATATAAAATTTAAAACTTTACTAAAAAACTTAAAAAAAAAAGTAAAAAGTAGGTACCACCTTAGGAGCGGGATAATATTTTTTAAAAAATTCAAGATTTTTAATATTATTAACTATATTATTAAAATTATTAAACTTTATTTTTTTATTATTACTAAAATTTAAAATTTTTAAAATAGTAAACTATATGGGCTTCTTGCCCTTACTTTTACTTAGTAACTAATAATTATACTTAAATACCTTATTAAAATTTACTTGCCTTTTTAAAGCCTGCTTTAATAGTAATATTACTTATGCCTTTATTTTAAAATTTTTATTTATTTTTATTATATAAATTACTATATTAAAGGTTTTATACTTTTTAATAAATTTATAAATTATTAATAATTAAGCACCATAAGGCAAGAAAAAAAAACTTATATTATTAACTTATTATTTTACTTAATAAATTAAGGGGCTATTTTAGTCCGGAAAGAGTACTAAGCTTATTAGTATATAAAAATATAATAAATACATGCTTTTTAAAAAAGCGCCTAACCCTTAAGCTTAGGGGCTTAAATATAAGTAATAAAAATTATTTTAAATAATACTTTATAACTATTATAAATTTTTTTATTTAATAATAATAAAAAAATTAAAAAAAAAAGTTAAAAAGTTTAAAAAAGTCTTAGGAAGTTCTAGAAAAAAAATAAATAAATAAAAAAATAATATTTATTAATAAAAAAAATAGTATTATGGTAGGGGTATTACTAGTAGTAAGTAAGTTATTAATAAAGGCCTTTATAATTATTATAATAATAAGACCTTACCCTAAATATTTTAAATATTTTATTAAAAAAGCTTTTTTTTCTTTTAAATAAATAATAAATAGTTACTATTATAAAATTTAAAATAAAAAATATTTAATATTATTAATTACAAAGGCCAAGATTACTATTTTTAAAAAATATATTGAAAGTAAGTGCCCTAAGTAAAAAAAAAATATTATTATATATTATAATTTAATATAATAAGGTAAAAACTAAAAAAAAAGAAAGAAAGCTATAAGATAATTATAAAAAAAAATATAAAAAAAATAAAAAAGTTAAAAAAAAAGTTTTATATAAGCACGGGGTTAACCTTACTTTAAAGTTAAATTTTTACTAAAATTTATAATAAACTTTTATTATTAGTTTTTTAAAAGGGCTAGCCTTTTTAAAAAGTTAATAATTTATAATTTTAACCTTTTTTTTAAATTTTTTTTTACTTTTTATTTTATTTTATCTTAGGGAAATAAAAAGCAAGCCAGGGTAAGTTATACCTAGTAAAATTTTTAAAAATAAAATATAAATAAAGGCTATTATAATTAATAATATTAAGTTAAAAATATATTAAGTAATTTTTTTTAATATTATTTAGCTAGAATTTTTTAATTTTATACTTAAAAAAGTTATTTTATAATTTATAAATTTTTTTATAATAAAAAATAATAGTATTTTTATATGCTATAATATATTTTTTTTATTTATAATAAATTAGGGGCTTTAATAAAGGTCTTTAGTTTTTTATATTTTTATTAAAATATATTTAAAAACAGGGGTTAATATTAAGGGCATTATTTTATTTAAGTAAAAAAAATATAATTTTATTAATAGTATTAATACCTTAGGCTATTTTATTAGCTATAATAATATTAAAGCTTAAAAATATTAATAACCTTAAAAAATAATACTTAGGCCTTATTATTTTAAATAAAAGCTATATAAAGTGCTTAAAGGCCTTAATAAAAAACCTTTAAATAATTTTATATTTAGTTTTTTTTTATATATTCTCTCTTAATTGCCCGGCCTTACTAGCTGGGTGATCCCCAGTGCTAGCGTTATCACAATAGTATTATAGTTAGAACAGCAGGAGAAATTAATATATTTTTTATTAGTTTATAAACTAACTTTGCGCTATTAAATTACTAAAAATTATGTAACTAGGTTTTAGCTATTATAGGTAAAAACTTGTTAGGTTTTGCTTTTATAAGTTTAAATTAAATATACTAACAGGCTTTTAAAATAAAGAGGCAACAGGTTTTTTTTAAGGCGTAATATTTTAAATAGTTAATATAATAATAAGCTTATTATTAGTTAAAGGAGCTTGGGCGGCGCTGTCCTAAATATTTTAATAAAAAATAAGCTTAAAAGCACCTTAAGCCAGTACAGGCTTAGCTAGCATAATTTTTTTTTAGGTTAGGGCTTTAATAATTTATTATATTATATAATTTTTTTAAGCTAGTAATAATTTTCTTTTTTATTAAATTAGTTAAGATAACCTAGCTTTGGTTTTAAAGTTTGCAAGATACTAGGCTAACTATTAATTTAAAAAGCTATTTTAAAATTTTAAGATTAACTACTATCTTCCTGTGTTTTTGCCTTAAACAGCATAAAATTATTTAGTTTAACCTTAAAAGTATTTATATTATTATTAAAGATATTCACGGCGCTAAAAATATTTTTATTAAAGTTTTTTTTAAAGGTATTATTTAAGTTCTCCGTGTTAGTATTATTCTTTTTATTAAACTTTATTATAGTTAGCTTAAACTTATTAATTAATTTTAATTTATACTTCTTAGTATGGCTTATTATGGCACTTTTAGTAATTAATTTTAGTTTTTAATATTTTTTTATTTTTTTTTAGTTTTTATGGCTGGGAGATCTTAATTTACTATTACTTAAAGTTAATAGGCCTTTATTCCTGCTATGTTAAGGCCTTTAAAAACTAGTAAAAGGTATATTTTTTAATAATAAATTTAATAAATCTTGGTTTATCATTTAATAAAAACCGTGGGTAGTAAAGCTATTTAAATAAATAAATATAAATAGCTTTTTTTATTACTTAAGTAAACTTATTATAATTTATTTTTTTATTACTTATATTACTAGGCCTTTCCCTGGGGGAATAATATAAATAAAAATATTTAAAATATAGTAACTTATTATAATAATTAAAAATAATAATTATATATTATTAGCTTTAATAATTTCCGCGGGATATAGTCTTAGCCTGGTAATAAAGTTAAATATAAAATTTAAGTTTAATAAGCCTAGTAAAACTATATTTTTTTAATTTTTATATTTTTATAAATACTAGGTTTTTATTATATAAAACTATTTACTTATAATATATAGGAAACTAGTATTCCTTATATATATAAATTTATATTATTAGGTTAATAAGTACTTTTTTTACTTTAAAATCCCTATTTAAATTAAAATTATACAAATATCTTTTATATTTAAATAACTTATTTATAACATAAATAATAAAAAATACCCTAAGGTTTAATACTTATGTCCCTTTAAAAAAAAGCTATAAATTTTAGGATTTTTAATTAATTTATTAAGTATAATTACAAGCTTTTTCCCTACCTTTAAATTATTTAGGTTAATTTTACTATTAATAGCTTGTGTTTATAAGTGGTTATTATTATTTTTTTTACATGTTAATATATTTAATATATTAAAAAATAATTATAATAATTATATTACTTCTTGCAGTGCTTTATATAATTTTTTTTATTACTTTTTTATTTTAATTTTTTTTATTAATAATATTAGCGTAATTCTATTTGTAAATTACCCTTAGTCTGCAGCTACGAGCTGAATCCCCGGCTCGCTCTACAACTGGGAAAATACCCCCTCCAACCGGGAAATATTATCCGTTGTGGCTTCGGCATTGGGAAGATTGTGCCGCCAGACAACAGGAGATTTACCGCTCTGTTTGCGCCTATCTGGCACCTCCAGATGGGACTGCCACACAGCTATTTTCGCCCCGCCTTTTGCTGGAGGGTCTGGGGCAAAGGTTTGGTGAAAGAGCTATAAGTAGTGAACAGGATCTGGAAAACTATAAACGATTTGGTGTGGAGAACTATGTTCATGATATTATCGCAGAACTTTGCAAGAACCCTGCTGCCCGAGACCAGTTTGGCTTGGGCGATGGAGTCAAGTTTGACAATCATGCAAACGCCCTCGATCAAACTGAGATTGACCTATCCCTGATGGATACCCCACATGTTCGCTGTCATTGGCCAGAATGTGAACGCTGAAGGACAAGCGCCTTCAGCACAACTTTGATTGGTTTTCATACAGCTGGTCACTTGCTTCAGCGCTGCAGCTTGTTTCTCTTGCCGCTGTGACTCATGATCCGCATCTCTCCAAGATGTGGTCGGGTTTTGCCTGGCCTATGCTCCCCCTCCCCAGCAACTCGGTCATCTGGAGTTGTTTGTGGCGGCTTGCGCCCATTATAATGAACCAATTGATCTCGCAGCCAATTATTCTCGGGGCGAATAACAATGAAAACCAACGATCTCAGCGACAAAATCAATCTCTGGAGTAAGCGCTGGGATGTGATACAACTTGCAGAAATTCCCATCACCCTTGTGATCAGCATTTGAAAGAGTCCGAAATGGCCAATCTCATCCAATTGTGCCGGCCTGGAACATTTTATGGTACAAGGGGTTCATAGGAAAACTCTTCGAACCGCGGCGTAAAGTACTAACCCCTCGCCTCTATATAGTCTCCTTCGCACCACCCCAGAAGATATGTCGGTCTGCTGTTGAAAAGACTGCATTGCTGCTTCTGCTTGTGCATAATAACGCTACCAAACACCCAGAAGGTTTTCGTTGGTCAGAATTGCTAGTAAAGGTCCTCTAACCACCTTTTGATCATTTTCTCTAATGAACCTATCGAAGAAATGTCGTATAATGTCTACCGAGTTGCCTATGCAGGCTTGCCTCGTGATCATCACGCGATTTTCGTCGAGATAAATAACGACCAGTCCGGCCATGTCTTCCAGGTTGTCGGAGACATCCAAAATGGAATGACACATGGCCATAAACCAGCGAAGAAGCCAGAGGAGTCGGCCACTTATCAAGGCAAAGTTCTCATTGGAAAAGTCTCCGCCCTAAACTATGCTCGGGTAAAGCCAATTTGCGACGCTGTTCCCCCTCCAAAAAAACAGTTCGAAGGGCCTCGAAGGCTTTATCCCGAAGAACCAATCCGACGCTGCCAGGAATGGACAAAGGAGGCTGTTGAGGCTTTAGCAGCAGCAGGCGTGCTTGAGAAGTAATCATTTCCTAAGAAGAGGGTTATGTTCTGACTTTGGCTGTTTTTGGGAGGCGAGAGAAATAGAATCCGCTATGGGGGCTATTTTGCCAAGACCCGCTCTTGTCCAATAATAATCTCTCAGTTGAATTCATGGCGCATACTTAAACTGATGATCTCCCCTACCATCCTTTGTCTTTTTAAACCGAAACTGTACTGTAATGGCTTCTCTGGTCAGCCTTCCATATTATGCCTCTGATTTACCTTCCCCCCTCCCAGCGGATACTGAAATCGATGACGCGCCAGATATTACTTTGGCGTATGGAGGGCGAAGGGTCGTCCGGATTGGGCGCTTTGTTGTGAAATTCGGGAAAGGCGTCAACCTCCTTGAAGGGGAAAATTTGCTGTTCGTCCGACAAAACACCAATATTCTCGTTCCTCGGGTCTATGCCCTTTACACAAGACCCGCAACAGGGGTAAATTATATTGTGATGGAGCAAGTCCATGGCGAGACGCTACAATCTTTGTGGCCTCGGTTGACTTCCTCTGAGAAGGACTCTATTATGAGTACCATGAGGGTTTATTTCGACGAGCTGCGAAGTCTCCCGCCCCCAGATTATTATGGCAGCCTGGGTGGCCGAAACCTTCTTGACGAAATCTTTTGGACTCACGAGGTTAACCCCGCAATCAACGGCCCATTCACAAGTGAAGAAGCGCTCAACGAGGCATTCGCATTAAAGTACCTTTACGATGATCGGCCTCGTTTCAGGGCGGACTTCTATCGCCAGTGTCTACCACTTATCTTTCGTGATCACCGGCCAACATTCACTCATGGAGACTTTCAAAGGAAGAATATACTCGTTCAGCGCGCTGAGGACGAGGTTGGAGTAGACGCTCCCAAGGGAATAAGAGTAGTTTTGCTGGATTGGGAAAAGTCAGGCTGGTATCCGAGTTATTGGGAATACTGTCTCGCTGTCTGCGCCTTACGCTGGGACGATGACTGGTGTCTCTGGGTGGAGAAAACATTGGATCTGTATGTTTCTGAGGCTGCATGGTTGCAAACGTTTCGTCGTGAACTATGGTCATAATACTATTGCTGGCGAGCTATCAGCAGATTTGAATGGTGACAAGTCAGTTGAAAGGCTGCCGGAAAGAATGGCCCAGCGGCCCTTAGCTTCGATATTTGGTTGGTGCAGGATCTGAGACTGTACGCCGGAGGAGATGAAGATTTCCCCATGTACGGACTGTTCGAGGGAAGCGATGGATATAGAGAGGCGCCCAGAATCGGATGCGATCTGAAACTTAGGCCTTCTGCGGTTAGTTATCCCATTCCAGTATGGTCGCCCAGCAACTGCGCCCAGCCGCTACTAATTTCAAGTTATAACGGATCATTCTAAAGGTAACTCTTTGTCGCACTTCTTTATTTCTCCCCCAACTCCCGTTCTGATATTCTACAATCAAGTCATCTTTCATATCATATTTTATCTTATAGCAAAATCACGGCCACACGCCTCCTCGTCGCCTCCGCATCCGGTTTCTCTCCCCAGCACTTAAAACTGCTTTTTTACCTCCTTATCCCTCTTGTGGTTTTCCTTTCCCGCCTTCTTGACCCATGGGTTCTAACAGCTCTTTTTCGTTCCCGCCTGGAATAGGTATCCAGGACGTTAAGGGATGTGGAACAAGCGGAATGGCGGCCTTAGACCCAAATACAAAGCGCATCATAAAGTTTCCCCTCGGCGATGATGATGAATGTGCCCGTTGTGATCATGAAAGGGAGGTATATCAACTTCTGGAGTCATCATCCCGTGAACGGCCATTATCACTTCTGAAATTCCACGGCAGCACGAGCCACGGCATCATGCTATATTATGCAGAGCTCGGTCCAGTGCGACAGTTTTTAAGGGAATCGCAGGATTCAATCCCTCCTTTTACTTTGCTCCGCTGGGCACGACAGGCTGCAGAAGCGTTACAATTCCTTCATGAAAACGGCATATGCCACGGTGATGTCAATTGTTCGAATTTCTTCTTGGACCAACATCTGGATTTGAAGGTCGGCGATTTTACGAGCTCACTCGTCGGCTCACTTGCTACACCACAAGATTTTCAAGAGGATATATTAAATTACGGCTCTGCTCTATATGAGATGGCAACCGGCTATTTGCCATATCATACTCTGTCTGAAGATGAAAGAGGGCAGAAGCTCAAACAGCGAAAATTCCCAGATCTTACAACCGTGGGCTTAAAATCATTGATTCTTCAGTGTTGGAACGCTGAATACACAACTCTTGCGGATATCGTGAAAGACATTGACACTGCATGTACGAAACCCACCCCTCAAAAGAGCTCCTACTTATTGAATGATAGCTTCGAAATACTCCCTGCAGTCCAGCCTTGCGAAAGCGTTCGCCTTCATACTTCTTATCCATGTCGTCGACACTTCTCTAAGGCGCTGACTGAATAAGGAGGGCATGTTTTCAGGTGGCTGAAATAAACCTCAGACATGGAACATGAAGAAAGAATGGATGATGCTTACCACACTTGTAGCATGGTCCAGGAATGCTGGAGCTTCCCCATTGCCACGGAGCTGGTTCGGGATCGGGACATAGTTCTTGATTCGCTCTTTTCTTAGAGTCCTCACAAGGATACTCTTTCCTTTTGTGAACGACATGCTTGGGATTTTTCTTGCAGTCTTTGTATATGACATCGTATTCCAAGTAGTAGCACATGTTGATTCGGTTAAACTGTTGGGGCAAGGCGAAGATTTGGGTCTGTTTTCCTTTGGGAAGACACCGTTGGAAAATGGAGTCTTGAAGGAAATTAAGCTAGACTTTTAGTTATTTTATATCTAAAGCGAGGATCTAAATGGGAATGCCTCTGCCCGACCTAAGCCCTGTGATGATATCTGACAAAGTCCACGTTTGGTGTTATTTGCAGAAAGGTGGCCTATAGCCAATCAGGTGTGACGAGCAGCTTACGAGGCCCGAGCGGGTTCGCCACAGCAGGTCGAGAAAATTTATGTCATTAGTGATATGTTTCGCCCCCAAAAGCTACTCTGACGGAGGTCTTAGAGGCTCATTCTTCCAAGCTGACCAGAGTGTCCATTTTTGGCCTAATATGATCGAGCAAGGGAATGGTCGAACGGTATCCTGGCGTGGCCCGTTTGTCTACGACACTACAAGAATTTGCTCTTGGATATCCTTGCTTTATTTTTGAGCGTTACATGGTCCTTAAGACGGAGTTGGAACAATCAGAACGGGGAAGGCACATCTCGGAGGACTAGGAAGAGAAGAAGAAACGCCTGTGTCTTGACAAGAACGTGGACGGCCAGGCTCAAAGTCAATTTCCAGACAGGGCTAGGAAGTGGATACTCGCTGCATGCGCAGGATGATACATTAGTTCCTCTTCCTAGGTTTATTTTGATGGTCGGAATGCATCTAGAAAGATCGACTAAGAAGCTGAGTCCTACCTAGAGCATATTCTACGAAAGAAGCAGGAAGATAGCAAAAGTACTGGTCGTTGGAGGCGTCTTGAGACATAAAAAGGCAGATTAGTCTATTATACTTTTGGGAGACAGTTCCTCCCCTTCCTCCTTCCTGACTTGCCATCAAGCTTTCCTAGGACAACATGTCGACATCAATCCTGCAGAGACAAAACGACGCCCTGAAACAGGTTATCAAGAATTCCACAATCCGGGTCGTTTGCCCCATCTGTTTTCAAGGGTTTCCACGCAACGATAAATTATACAAACACTTCCGTGAGCAGGAAGATAACACTCATCAGGGTCTGGATAAGAGGACAACGGACTTCCAGACGTTCCTATCCTGCTATCAAGTGTCTCTCGGGGCCTTTATACCTGCTGAAAGCATTGCAAACAACCCTAGGTGTTTTGACATTTTGTTTGTGATCGAGAACTTGGGAAACGGTACGGAAGAAAGTCAATTTTTTTTTACCTCCAGTCAGTAACTAATCCAGATAATCTTTAATCTGTGAGTATCTACTTACCACTCTACTAGAGTCCGTGATAGACCGATAAATTCTTTGGAGTTGAATACACTCATTCGCCCAGTTAGTGTGGAGTGGGAAGAATTCAGCTTGTGTCTTGCGTACTTTTAAGGCCAACAGGCGCTGGTGACCAGGCAACTCTGCATAGCTCGATTCAAATGCCAAGGACGGTGTAACTGGAGTGAGATCTAGAAGTTTTTATCTGTGTTCTAAGCTTAAAATCATGGCACCCCAAAATTATTCTGAGAGTTCTTAGGCATAGGAGTGGTTGGTGCCGGTTAATGACGGCTCGTGGACTGGCTGGATTAAACAATTGAATTATACCGCAGAAAATCTAATGTCACTGGACTCTAGAACCGTTCTTTCATTGTTCGGCCATCAAATACCCAGCATGTGCTACTCTCCAGGAAGCACGCTCTGATCGACGCTGGTGACAATACCAGAAAAGTAACTCGATATTAGATAACAGCCCCAGAAGCTCCGTCATAAAAGCAGCTCCTGTTAATTGCTTGCTCACTCTATCGTTGTAAAGTCTGCAAAGAATGTCGCACATTGCGTTGAATTCGTAGAAATTCTCGATAGACCGTACGAGGCGACAGCGAGTTTCTTGGGAGGGTTCTTGGGCAAGCGCATCAAAGTGCCAATAGACAAGCGATAGCATGAGGAGGTCTTTATCTGAAAGTTCGTTCTGAATGATATAGGCGAATCCGTCGAGCAACAAGTGGATTGGTGTGATGGTGTGAGAGTCCAGGGATCTTCCAACGAAGGTCTTGATCATCAATCTCGCCGGGTTATGCAGGATGAACCTAGGCAGAGAGACCACAGTCTCCTGCTATGCTAATTAGTAGGGTGTAGGAAAGTGCAATTAATTCACTTACAATGCATATTTGACACATGATGTGCGGTCGAGAAACGTGCTAGGTTCTGCGAAGAGTTCGAGATGGCGGGTGACATCCAGAACTTCGAAAGGGAGGTAGCTTCTGTAGCCCACCCATTTATGCTCGCTGGACTTCGGGCCGCCCCCTAATTGATCAACGCTTCACAGATATTGGTGTCCTGAAACTATACTGTATAGATATTCACTCGCTTGCGCGCTCACCCAAAGTTGGTCCTTGACTAGATATTAGCTTCAACTTTATTAGGGGACTTTAGGAACTGGCGCACGCGATGGCAAATGACTCCAGGATCTGGGCCAAGGTCTGTTCCCTGAGACGAAGGCGTTGAATGAGGAGTAGCGAGAACCCAGCGTGAGGGGTCGCCGCAAGTCCGTCCTTTCCGTCGTACGGGCCCTTGATACGGAGTCTTTCAATACACCATAATATGGCAAGAGTGGAGCAGCCAAAATATTTTGCTTCTGTCGTCGCGATTCCAGTAGGGAGGCGACCAGACGTCGAGGTAGAGAGGGGGTCAGCATAGGATAGGACCTGCTTTGTCTTAATATCTGTTCCAAGATAAAGCTCCCACTAGGACCCGGTCAGCATATATCACTTTATCCCAACCTCGATCGTACACTGTGAGCGGTCCCAGGTCAAAGTACGCATTTTTTATTGCCCCTTGCCTAGCAAAGACAATCCGTCGAAACAAAGTCTGACTATAAGTAGATGCATCTTGTTGATCTGCCAACAGAGTTAGTCCTCTGCATAGCAGAAAATCTTGACCAGGCTAGGGATATTCTCGCGCTGGCAAGGACCAACCAACGGACACTCCAAATCGCTCTTCAAGTTCTCTACAGATTCAATGTCCGGTACCAAAATAGTTCTGCGTTGCATTGGGCGGCTGAGAGAGGAGTAGCCAAATTGGTCCATACTTTTCTCTGCCTGTGCCCGGAAGCCGTCAACGCAGTTCAGGAGAATATTACACCGCTTATATCTGCAGCCATTCATGGATCGGAAACCGTCGTTGAGATCCTTCTTAGGGCCAGGGCTTCCCTTAACTTCTGTGACAACACAGGACGGACTGCGCTGTGGTATGCAGCCTTCAAGGGACACGCGTGTATTGTCAATCGGCTTCTCGCCAGAGAACACATTGACGTTGACTGTCGAGGTACACTGTGTGGACTCACACCCCTGGCTGCAGCTGCATGGAA